TGATCTTTAGCTGGTCATGGATGTCTGTAAATTTAACCTTAGCTGTAGTGTCCCGCCTGCTGACCTTTCCGCTATGAGAATAATTTTCCTAGACACAGTCACTTCCCTTTCATTGTCTATCTCCTCTTCATATAGCCTTCGCCCATTCTTGATACTGTTCTTGGTAAGACGGAGCGTTGAAAGGTCAAACTTTTTTTGTTACGCAGAACTGATTCACAGCTCGAGTCTCCGCTCTTCTGTTCAAATCGATTGCCGTCTGCTCAAACGTGCTTCATCAATATCTGTCTTTATTTCGCGAGCAGTAGTTCTGCATGATACTATTATATCGAAGAATGTGCAAAGTATATTCTCAATCTACACATTAGGAATTTTAGGCATGTGCAATTACAGATCGTCTTTTTTTTTAAATTCCAGTACTTCATTTCTTTTGTTGTCTGCAGAACATCTGATCCAACATATAAAAATGTTGGCACTAAGACGTTCTACTTGCTTCGTTTCGTTTTGGCAAACCAAGCCGGTGAAAAACCTTCATAGCTGCGTCCAGTAGCACAGTGGAGTCGGCGAGAAGAAGATGCAGCAGACGACACTCTGGCGCCATCGGATATCGCGGGTACAGTGAACTAGAAGAAATTAAAAATCAAGGAGGCGATCTCAGCCTCAAAGGGCCTCTGTTCCCATGAAATTTGTTGCAGTTCCGTATCTGCATAACATGTCGCATCGGCTGGAAAAAATCGGTAAAGGCGCTGGTGTCACTCTTATTTTTACCGCCCCAGAAAAGCTTACAAAGCCTTGTAAGCTGGTGAATAATCCAGCTGCTATTAAAGGAAGATGCACTGTGAAACACAGAACACACTTTGTACCTTGTGTTATTGGTGTCGTATGTCTCATTTCGCTTTCGTGCGGAATGTTATACATAGGGCAAACCGGAAGGTGCTTTCATGACCGTTTAAGAGAGCACAATAACAATGTACACAACTTGGTTCAAGGACACCACGGAATCCACTGCCGAGACTGCGGCTGCGTGCCAGTTTTTGAGCGTTGCGAGGTATTAAGCAAACACAACTCGCAGGCCACGCGTGAGATAATTGAGGCTTATCAAATAAACAAGTTTGACGGTAAATCTGTAAGTTACCCATCGGTTGCGTTGTTGCAAAAGGAGATTGCGTATCTCGATCTTTTTTAAGTTACATGTGTATTCTTTTTTTCAGCCCATTCAACAAGAGACAAGAGTTTTGCTGACATTGTATCGCAGTAGTTGTTCCTGCACCCTTCTACGCATGCCCATTTTTCTCATTTTTCGCCTATATATGTACACCACTCAGATATTAAATCTTTGTTGAAAGTCGGCGCTCTTTTCTGTCCTTGTTTTTTTTTCGCTTCCGTAGTTACGAAGTAACTACTTCTAGATTGCGCTGTTCCTGCATTCAGCCGGCCTAGAGTTTCCCCTCCTGTCTTTCTTGCTCCGTGGATTATACTTATCACTTAGTTCTAGTACTTTGCCATTAAAAAGTAACCAGTTTTCTTGTACTGAATGATTTGCAGATTGCATCTCATACACCGGAAAAAATTCGGTTAGCTTGCTGTTGATAGCTTCATAATTGGCCTTATCATAAAGTCGAATTGTTTTCTTGTAGCTTTCACATACATACATAAATTAGAAGGTGTCGCTATTTGTCAGCCAGTCATCTATTGTCTTACTGGATAACGAAGTTTTCATGTTAGATAGTGGATGAGGACCTCATGTCTGGTATCTCTGTTAGTGTTTTAGTTTTTTATTTTTCGCAGTATTTTGTCAACTTCACAATGCAGTGTATAATTTTTTCTCGGGTGATAAGACCGGCTCAGTCATGAGTTGTTCTGTCCGTATGTGATATGTGTTCCTGTTTTTCAATGAAAATTCAGTTAAAAGCCAGCGCTGTGCCGTGTCTTTTTCAAGTCCATCTCTGATTGTTGGCGCTGTTGGCCACAATGAATCTGCACTAACTCACCCAGTAATACCTTAAGTGCTGTCGTCATTCGACGTAATGAATGCGAACCCACATGACAAGAAAAAAGAAGGGAAAGCAAGTGAAAAATAGAAAGAGCATGAAAGAGAGAGAAATCAGTAAAGAGACAAGAGGAAATCAATGGAAATAAAGAGAGAAAAAAAGATGAAAAAAAAAAACGGAAGCATAGATAAAGAAAGAAAAGTGAAAGGAAACAATGAAGACTGTCCAGCCTCGCACTTCCTTGAGGTTAGCCACCAAAGCTGCCTTAATTGATTTATTATTTTAGGTGTGAAACAGGTTATGGCGAAGCTCGATCCGGTAGGCTTACTGGGCACGGACAATGGCTGATCCAAGCATTGCTAGAACACACTGGCACCCACTAACGCATTCAGGCCTGTGTGAGTGGCTGTGTGCGGTGGCCTTTCCCTGTTCTCAGCAACCACGTGATGGCGTTGGGGAACGAGATTCTGCAGACTCGCAATGAGCCCACGTGCTTCCGCGGGGCATGCTAGTTCAGAACGAGTAACAGCAACAGAAGCTACAGTCAATTCGTGTTTTCACAAAGTACAATCACTCAAGCACGGTCTTTCAGACAGCGCTTGTGCGACGACGACTGCGTGGTCGTTCGCGACGAAATTACGCTCAACATGGAGTTCGTGCCCTAATTATAGGGGTTTTTGTTGTGCCTTCAAGTAAGACACTTATATCCTAGGAAAAGGGTGTTTTCAGGAGCAAAGCACCCCTGTCATGAGGTATAGCCCATTGTCCAACACCCTAAGCACTCTTTCAAAAACTGTAAAAAATAATAGCTACCTGTCAGAGAACATGCAATTAAGATTCCCCATCACAGGTTAGCTACCAGTGAGTGGCAAATCATCTTCAGTTCTTTTGTCCGTGTCGGGATACCCACAGCGAAATCATGTTTAAATAAGAAATTGCCCAGCTTGCTGTTCTGATTCAGGGATTAGTCACCTGCGAGCTCGTAATAAGATCGTGCACGCGATATTTGACGCGAGCAAGCAGTAAACGAGTGTTCCACTCTCGCCGTCATGGCTACTAGCCGCGCTGATTACCACTCCCACGTTTAAAGACACATATACCACGTAAAGTGGAGGACCACTGCTATGGCATCAGTGGTAGAGCATCGGATGCATTATTCAAAGGTCACAGTTTCGGATCCTGCCGGTGTCAAGTTATCTTTTCATCCACTTTTCTTTCTTCGCATGAACATTGTGATTACTACTTGTAACGTCCCCTGTACTTTCCTTGGCACCAATGCCTGCGAGTTCTCATTATTGTGTCAAACAAAAAAAAATGGAAAGTAACCGCCAGACTCTCACTTTTTTCCCCGTTGTATACTGCCCTACCATCTGGTATATGTAGCCATAGTATGCTAGGCCACTATTTTCTGCTGGTGAGAATATTTTGGTTTTATAAAGATGGACGATAAACGTTAACTGAATAGGTGTACAGGTATGGTATATAGCTCTAGAAGCGATATAACATTTATTCTAAACTGGCCGAATATACAGTCCATTTTTGATCAGCGAGTCCAAGTTATCATCTGATGTACACTCAGGAGTGCCGCAAGCATCTGTGCTTGCATAATTATTGTTTTTAGTTTACATAAATGATATTTATTTCTCATTTCAATCACCTGTGAAAATCCGACTTTTTGCGGATGATTGTGTTATTTATGCCGACATTGCTCAGCATTCTGATCAAGCCAGACTCAACGATGCATTGCAATCCATCTGCGCCTGGTGTGGTAAGTGGGGCTTGAAGCTCAATGCATCAAAAGCGGCATCCATCACAGTTACGAACAAACAAAACCCATTAAAATTCCAATATACTATTAATTACGCTTATGTTAAAAAGGCTACGCGAGTGAAATATCTGCATGTCATGCTTACAAGCAATTTAAATTGGGAAACTCATATAGATAACATCTGTAGCAATGCGCTAAAGAAGTTAGCATTTTTAAAACGTAAACTGCGTCGCACTTCACCTTCTATAAAACTAACATCTTACAAAGCACTTATCAGGCCTAAGTTAGAATATGCAGACCTGGTCTGAGTGCCGTATCAAAAATACTTGATTAAAAAAATAGAAAGGATCCAAAACCTGGCTCTGAAGTTTATTTATTCTAGCTACTCTCATTTTGCAAGCGTCTCTGCCCTTCGCGAGAAGGCAAATCTGAAAACACTCGCTCATCGTAGAATAGTCTCTCGATTAAAATTCATCTACCAATTGTACCATGGTCACTTCAAAATTCCACCCAATCGCTACATAACCAACCCGTCCGTGCACTTTGACCGTATTCATCATAATAAAACAGTTGGACAACCATTCAGTTATCTGAACGTTCATCAGTACTCATTATTCCCTCATGCTCTTTCATTATAGAACAAGTTACCTCAGGAGGTCATAAATGCGGACACGACACAATCGCTTGCCTATCTCGTCAATGACCTAACACTTGATTTTTAATATGCAATATATTATGTTCCTTATTAGTGCTGAGATTTTTCGTACTTTGGTATGAATGCCATTATTTTTATGTATTATTTATATTTTCCCTGATGTTGAGAATTTCCTTATTTTTGTGTCTAGTATTATATATTCTTATATTTTTATATTCTGTTTTGTCACTGACATTTGTTACCCACTCCTGCTTGGGCCCGAACAGGGCCTGCAGTATTTGTGAATAAATAAATAAAAGACACGCCGGGGGTATTTCGATCAGCGATGACATCTTAGCTCCTAAATGGTGTCTTAACGAAAACATTAACTCCTAAAGGATATTTGGGGAAAGAAAACACCTGTATGCCCTCATTTCTAGAAATTATAGTTATGTTAAGTCATGTTTTGCATGCTTGAAACCGGCTTAAAAGTGCAAAGGGGTTAATAGTGCGTGATATTGCGCAAAAAGGTGATTCCGCATAAATACTCCCCTACGTCAAATGCTGCCACGTGGTGCTCTTATATGCTCATTATTCCAACGCGTTCCAGGTGACGGTGCTAAACTACCGCCGTGCAAAACCAGCCCCATCATTCCACCTGCAGCCGGGATGCACAACCAGGGCGGCACTAAGTCCTGCGCTGAAGTGCGCGATCTCATCCACCTAACGGGTCCACTCACTGAGGACGCTGTGCTGAGGACACTGCACGCGAGGTTCTTCTGTCGGGAGTACTTCGTGAGTATTGTCAAGTGGCCAATTGTTTGTTTGAAATAGTTAAGGCCTTGCTAGAGCTATGTAGAACCAAGTATATATATCTATATATATATATAATATATATATATATATATATATATATGCAGGTTCGGTACGAAAATTCGGAAAATAAATGCACAAATTAAACAAAAGCTAGCCTGAAGGCAGAGTTAACCCCCAAACACTCATTTTATAAAAAAAAAAAAACTGCGTTATTATTGTAGTATATGGACACTCTCAGCGGGTTCTTGCTTTCGCCGCCATGTTCCACAACAAGTCCAAATTGACAACGTGCCCCTGCGCATTCTAACTTTCACAAGCGGGTGAAAGCGTGCGAGCGCTGCTGAAGCAAAGATCAAATGAGTCAGCCCATCCCTATCGCCGAGAAAATGCATAACATTTCCCGCGTGTTAGAACTGCTATCGAATGCTCAAACAGAAAGTAATCCACCTGTCTTAAACAAGCATGAAGCAACGTGTGGAGGGGGAGGGGGTGGCTCGAGTAGCAATAATGAAATTTTAAGGGTGGGTGCGATCGCTGGCCTGCTTCCTATCTCGGCGAGTATCACTGCGGTTTCAATGCGAAGGGATTGTGTGAAAAGAGCAAAGGCAATCATTCCGGTCAAAGTCGAAGGCCCGTGATTCTCCCCGCCGAAGCATAAGCGCGCGCGCACAAGCATCTAACCCCCCTCTCCCTCTCCGCATTAGCGGGGAAAAGTACTCGTTGGAGATAGGCCTCCATTGGCACATCGTGACGAGCTGAGCGCCGAGCGCGAGCGGCTTTTTGTTTTCTTCTTGAGTTTCAGTATGTATAGGTACGTGTACATATACTACACATATACGGTGAATGAAGGTGGCGGCGGCAAAAACGCAGCCGAAACTGCTCCTATACACAATTGCTATCGCAATAAAAAAAGCAAAGCTGAACGTCGTCGGGGCACACACCGTGCGAGGGCAGTGAAACTATGCATGTGCGCACGGCGCCGAAATCGAAAATCAAACGACACGGACACAGACGCGGTTACCGTGGAAGCTATTCGGTAAAGCGCCCTCCATATTGTCACGGGGTCGTGACGTGGCTGAAGACAGGAAACTTCGTGTTGGGATTTAACTGTTTATTTGGGCGAACCTGTGCCCGGTAAAGGGAAAGTCTAATTACAGCAGCAGTCTTGCACAGATAGCAGTCTCGGACTGATAGCGGCGAACGCAGCGTCGGCCTTCGATCAACAACTGACAAGCGGCGAAGCGTGTCGGCATTTATACCCTTGCCGTCGAATGTTCTAGCGTTATCGCTGGCGGTGGCGTAGGTTCCAGAACAATCTGTACCGTTCGCACAGTGGGCGTGATCTTATCGAAATGATCTACTATAGTCCGGAACTTTCTCAAAACCTGCAGGCGCGGTTTGCGCCGTGAATCGTGTGGTGTTTCGGAACGATAACAAAAACTTGTGAAATGGAACGTGGCAGTATGCAGCACGGCCCCATATTTGTGACACTAATCTAAAGCGTGGCACTGCGATCGGGCAAATGTAGTTTTTCTTTATTTTGGTTTGGAGTAGGGGGAAAAGGGGCACACCCGCGCACGCAACCACAGCGGCGAGAAAGGGGGCAACGCCAGCTCGTAAGGTGCAGGTGCACCTGCCCACCGCGTGTTCGCCGCCACCGCTTCAGCGGCTGCGGGGCAGCGGCGGAAGATGCATGCTCCTGCCAAAATGCTGAAATGCAGAGCAACATTCTGAGATTGTTCATGGAGAAAAGACGTTATATGAAGGTTGTCTCCCGCAGTTACTTTATTACGTAGAGGTCACAAATACATGCGCATCTATGGAGGGACGGCGGGGAATAGAAAAACTTCATTATATCCAAGAATTTGTTATATGGAGGTTCGTTATAAGCAGGTTTAATATGAAAAGAAGCTGGTACAGTACGAGAAAGCTAGCAATTCCTTTATAGATATGTGTATCGAGTGTCGCATTGCATTTATCTGAGAATGAATGTCATTCTTCGATGAAGGCCGTGCCACAGTCGATACGCAAATCTATGCAGGCATTGCTTGCTCTCTTGTACGTGTACCAGCATTTTTTTTAATTACTTACCGAACACACTGAAGTTTTCCACGATATATATATATATATTACATTGGTTCTAATAACTTTGCCTATACGTTTCTTGGCATTATTGTCTGCAGGATCTCATTATAATGTGTCAAAACACGGAAAAACGAGCCTTTAGGTATACTCTTCTTTCCTATATATATATTTGTAAAAGACAGTAAAAGAGTGTGGAACACTCTTTTACTTTTACTGCCTGCTTCCGTCACATAGCATGTACATGATTTTATTAAGAACTTACATGTGACTAATCACTGCATCAGAACATGGCAAGCTGGGGGAAATTGTTAAATATATATATATATATATATATATATATATATATATATATATATATAAATATGGGATATGGCACAACGGGAGCGTTGTCAACAAGGATAAATATATTCTCATCCCCTGATGAAGGGAGGACACCCTCGAAACTGTTGGGAAATCAAAATATTTATCCTTGTTGACAACGCTCCTGTTGTGCCATATACCATACCTTCACGAAGACTAACTGGCCCATTGAATTATTGCTCCCACTATATATATATATATATATATGTGACGTATGAAGCGATGATTGGTAGAAGCCGAGAAGGAAGAAGTAGAGAATGGAATAAACATGGGGTATGAGCCAGGCCACGTCGCCCATTCATCGTAGCGTCACACAAGTCGACAGGATGGAGACCTGCCTGCCCCTTCATCAGTCACTCATCATCGACGCAGTTCCTCAGAAGACGCCCTGACCGTACATTGGCTACCGAATTATCGCCTAGGAGGACAACGACCAGCACCATGACAGAACCATCGGCTGACCTCGACATCCCCAAGTACACCGGATCAGCGGACGACGGACCCGTACAGGACTGGTTCAACCTGTTCGAACTCCACGCTACCGCTGCATCTTGGTCGGAACGGGAGATGGTTACGAACTTCAGCGACTACGTCACCGGTGAGGCATTCAAATTTTACGTAATTCACATATTCGAGAACGACGAGTCATGGCAAAAAATCAAAGAGGAGATGATTACCCGTTTCAATGACTATGACCAAGACTTACTCATTGCCAACCATCTAGAGACAACTGCACACTATCATCAATTTCCTAAGCAGTCCTCAAGCATTAGAAAGTCCAGCGCGAATCGACAAGTGCCTCAAGACGAAGTGGCACATGCGTTTACTTACAGAAGGCCATGCGTATATTGGGAAAAACCCAACCGTCAAGCGCAGCTCCCTCGTGCACGAAAGTCGGCATTTCCAAAGTCGTGGCACCAACATACGACACGAGACGTCGCTCACCCTACTGATGCCTTGCATGCTTCGTCTCGCATACATGGTCCACCACCTGGTTTTCTACGACGCAGCTCTTCAAGCGTTCCTGACGCTCACCGTTTGCCCCATAAGGACATCATGTTCACGATAGACGAGTTGACACACCGAGAAAATACACAGTCGAGCCATGCTTCTTCTGCACGGGTTCATGCATCACCGCCTGGTGCATACACACTCGACAGTCGAAGCAACACCGAAGGGTTAGGCACATCGAACGTCAGACGCTGCCATGCGCAAGAGCCTCTCGTAGTGAACAGTGCAGAAAAAGCTTCTGAAGAACTTTCTGCCAACTCTGAAGCATCATCTTCATTGCCTGAATTGCATGACAACTGCTCAAAGACTACCAGCTGCCGACTGGAGACCCCATCAGGTTATCATGAAAACCAGCGCGATGTTCAAGAAGAGCTTCCACCGCGATATGGTCCACAGCAACGTCAGCAACGCCAGCAAAAGCAAGTCCGTGAATCGCAGACACTCCAACGGACACACCAACAAGGACGACGACGCAAAGCAAACCTCTTAAAACAAATTCAAGAAGCGAGGCAACTTTGCATAAAGGATGGGCACCAGAAACGCATTTGGCACAAAATATCAAGACTGCACCTAAGATTACAGCTCCGAAACCTCATGAAACACCGAACAAGACGAGAAGTTACCAGTTCTACTATGCAAAGATTCAGACACCATCCCATTAGTTTACGACAACGGAGCCAACGCCACAGAAAGCTACGAAAGAGACTGAACGTTATAATTTGTACAACGCACGAACATAGACATAATTCCTTGAACTTCAGTTCTTGTACACGCAGGCTGCAAGCACTAATTCTGTCTCAGCCGCGACACAAAATACAGTGCGTACGACAGAGGATTCGGCGCCTACGACATTCGACCTTCAAGTGCTCCAAGGACTTCCAACCTTGTTCGTTCCTCGCAGCTGCTCAAGTCATGTCATGGTCAGTGCAGTTTTGCAAGACGCGGTTACCATCTCCAGAACGCCACAGCCAACCTCGCCCACCAGAACTCCGCCATTCACCGGACGGCCGCGCTCATTTCTGAAGTTTTGCGAGTTTACGGAACACCACTGGGACATGAAACCAATTGTGCATTTTGACATTTGTGACTTCTCAACCTTGCCTTGTTTACTTTTTCTTGTTAGTAATCCATGCCTTCTTTCGGGGGGGGAGGGGGAATCGTGTGACGTATGAAGCGATGATTGGTAGAAGCCGAGAAGGAAGAAGTAGAGAATGGAATAAACATGGGGTACGAGCCAGGCCATGTCGCCCATTCATCGTAGTGTCACATATATATATATATATATATATATATATATATATATACACACACACACTCTCAAATCATTCGTATCACCGCACTATCCCTCAAAAGGAAGGTCTTTTACAGCTGCATCTTGCCGATACTTGTTGCCCACGAAGCCAAAACCTGGAGGCTTACAAAAAGGGTTCAGCCTAAATTGAGGACGACACAGCGAACGATGGGAAGGAAAATGATAGGCGTAACCTTAAAAGACAAGAAGAGAGCAGAGTGGGTCAGGGAAA